TTTTGTATGATTACTAGTCCCCTCTGCCACACCTTTTAGAAGTCAAAGACTAAGGGTGTGTTCGATTTTTCAATTTTTCCATGTTCGGTTGGTCAAATATTTTGGAAAATATGTTCTCTAGGAAAACAAGCTCCTTAGAAATGAGGAAAAACAAGCTCTACTAGTGACAATCCACACTGATTGTGTCCTCCCTACCCTCCAACATACCTCATCTTCACCCCGACCCCCCATAGACCTCATCCCCATCTCCCATAGTATTTGCTTAAACTATATATAAATGGTTTGAGAATAATAGTTTTTGCTTGCCTACCGAACACAAGAAAATAAGTAGGAAAGTTTTCTAGATAACGTTTTTCAAGAGAACATTCTCCTTCTTACCTAACTCACCCTAAAGGTGGATAGAATTATGTAAAGTTGTAAACACTACAGAATTCAACAATCCTTCCTCAACCCCTTTTTCACAAGTCATGACTTACAGGACCATCTTAACCGGACTTTGACAAGAAAACAATGTTGAAGCACGATCAAACCACATATGGTAGGTCATCCTCATAAATGTTAATGTAACATCGAAACTACCATATGGTAAAAAATCACATCTTTTACTTCATGTAATTGGTATACAAGACTTTAAAATTAACATCTTCAAATGTCACATAATTGATTATAGCCTCTAGTGCACAAAGATCCAAAAGTAAGTAAATTAAAATATCTCTTCAGAAAAGTAACAAGAAAAACTTTATTTTATACCTCCCGCACCTGACACTAGTTGTTTGAGGTTTCTTTTTTTTGTCGTACAAGTTGATAGACCCAAATATTACACTTTTGGGTTCTTAAACTTCGAATTAAAAAAAAAAAGTCTCACACAACTAATACGTGAACAACATGGTATCAACCAATCCATTTGCCACTCATAAAACAACATATTATAACAGTCAACAGAGTAGCTATGGGGTGATCAAACCATCATATATAATACATCTCCATCACCATATAAACAATGATTTCATAAGATTAACAAAAAAAAAAGCAATTTCATAGATAATCATAACCAGAAGAAACCAAACCAACCCAACATCCCAAGAAATACAAAAAATACACATATTGAGATAGAATTATAAAAAAATTGGACAAAAGAGGAAACAAAACTCAATCTTGGAAACAATCAAATGCAAGCAAACATAAGACATTCAATCCCAATCTAATTGGGAATGAGCCGGTAGCGGATCCAGAATTTTAATAAGGGCTTTAAAGTACGACTATATATATACTGATATACATAAAAAAAAAATTATATATAAATAATGTAATTTTTCGTCGAAAGGTCTGCCTACCTGTTTACCCATTTTGACAACAACATAGGGATCACTGCTGCGGACATCACGTACAGCGAGGTTTATGCCTCTCTTAATTTTGATCCTTAAAAGTCCAAAAAGATTGTCCATTAAGGATTTTGCTCTATTCTTCCTTCCTCTGCTGCTTAAACAAAATATAGTCTCCCCTCTTTATATTATTTTTTTTTCAAAAAGAAAAAAAAAAAAAAACTTATTGATTACAGTAATATAGCAGTTACTTAATTAATAAGAAAAAAATATCTTTTTTTTTACTTTTTTTTTCCTTAACACCTTCCCCACCAAGTGAAATTCTTCCTCTAGTCAATCTGAAAAGATGGAAAAACAAGTATATATATTAGAAAAAATAGTCACAATTTAGATATTTTAGGAGTATGAATAGAAGAATTTCATATATATTAGCTGACTTAGAATTTACAATTTATGATTCGAAATTTAACAATTTATACATATTCAATGAATTTCTTAACACAAATAAGAGGAAGGGGATTTAAAAAATATATTGCATAAATTTAAAAAATTAGAAAAGAATTCCATGTGTGACATTTTAAAATTCTTTGAATTTGATTATCAGAACTTTTTATTTCGCCATTGTTTATCACGAATGACAAATCATGTAAAAGGAATTAGGAACCTCATTAATAAGAAAGAATCCAATCCAATTTGTTATTGAAATTGACTTGGATCCAATTACAATTCTAAGAAAAATTCTTGACAAAAAGTAGAGAAAAAAAAGAAATTTAATTTCAATTATTTGAAGAAGATGGAAAAAAAAAATCTATTTTCATATGTAAATTAAAGTTGATAATTAATACTTACATTTGAATGATCTTCTTAATAAAGGAGCTTAGCGCTGCCTAATTAGGAGAGGAAGAAAGAGAGGAAATTGTTAAGGTAATGCCTATTTTGTGTATTTCTTGGGGGATATGGAGTATTACATGCAAAAGAGGGGGAAAAATGATGAATTTTAAGGCAAGGCAACAACTTCGAAAATATGTTGTTAATAGGAATTGTGGTTCTTAATTATATATGATTTAATGAGTGCTTAATTCTAGTCCATTAGGCAAATGATTTTAGCCATATTTATAACACTTACCTATCGTGAGTCTTTTCTATTTATAGTTATTATTATTATTATTCTAAAAGAACGAATGATAATATTGAATTTAAAAACATCTAGACGGGGAAAAACTGAATTAAACCTCTTTGAACAAGATCTACTTGTATGAGGTGAAATTTGTGCTTGATAAACAGACAAATTATATTATGATACGTGGCTGAATTGAAATCGAAGAGACGTTGGTTCTTCTTACCTCAGCCTAATAAAATTCTGACATCACAGTCCCCCTACATAACTTGGTCTTCGAACAGATTAGCCGATAGCCTCGAGTCTAGGATCAATCTGCCCTAATATTCTAATATTACAATTTTTGTTATAGAGACTTTTATATATATATATATATATATATATATATATATATATATATATATATATATATATATATGAACAAGTAATATTATTAAGGGCCATAGAAAAATGAATATAATCATGCATGTTATCCTTAACCAAACGGTTTGATGAAATTATAGTGATCTAATACAAAATCTTAATAATCGATCTCAAGTATATTTACTAAAAATATTTTTTGTGCATATATTACACGTGCATCATACGCCAAATAAGCATACATTAGGTCGCACCTACGTACATCCAAAACAATTAAATTAGCCCTTTCACAAACCACGTAAGACAAAAAGTGTTATAAATATAAAATGTGAAAGAAACTAAAGAAAAGGATGTTATATTGAATCAAAATAGCACCATAAAAATGAACCAAAACCTCAATATATAAAGGTTATCATAAAAAGAGGTATGTTATTTTCCTTACATGTGATATTGGCACGGCTCAATCAAATAACAAATTCTACAATCTTATGTGGAGATTGTTATCTAATTGAACCACACCAACATCTCAAGTAGTTGATCAATCAAAACATAAAATTACCTCAAAATATTTTAACTCAATAAGTTGGTCTGATTTTAAACATAATGATTTGGTCAAAAGTCAAAATTACTTTGAAGTAGCTTTGAACAAAAAGTAGTAGTCATATATAGAAGCAAATTCATAGAATAAGTCCAAAATGGAATATGTATAGTTTTATTTGTTAATCTTAGTGGCATCATGAATTACGATCTAGCTCTACATTGATTGTAGCATTAACAAACGAATCAAAATTATTAGATATTCTAATAGACCAGGTCGTCTGTATATATGGTCAATTAACTGTTCACATTTTGAAATATTTTTAAAAAAACTACTAAATCGACAATTAAAATAGAAGGGAGATATTTATATTGAGGATCCATTAAAACTAGTTGTTACATTGAGAATCCAACAACTAAAATAATTCTCGGAAATTCAGTAACTTTTACATGAATTCTGTATTTATATTGAAAATTCATTAATTACGTAAGAATTTGATAGTCATATAGTTAATATTTTGGATTCGCCTCTGAACGTTGTACAAAGTAATATTCTCAGTATGAGAAAAAAAGGAGATACCATTGACAGAAACGCATTTTTCGGAGTGATCAAAGGGGAAAAAAAGACAAGCACAATTAACTCCACAAATATATCGACAAAAAACTATAGATCAACATGACTTTTTGTATTTATATATTAATCTTTGCCGTCCAAGTCAAACTATTTTATTGATGGCAGTTTACCTGGAAATATCTTACTACAGTGACATCAACCAAATCAAAAATTAGAATTTAAAATGCCAATTAAGAATTTCCACTTTCTGGAGAATCTTAGTTCACACTCCACCAATCGTGATTTTTTAAGTTATGTCATACGTTGAATGACTCTTTTTTTTAAAACAAAACAATTTTAATACTTTATTATTATTTTATATCTTGAGTGATCATTTGAGAAATTTATTCAAACTTTTATACGAAAAAAATAGAAAAGCATTCACTTCTGATGAGTGCTTGATTTGTTAAAAATAAAGGGAATATTATTTTCATCTTAACAAAAAAATGACATATACTAGATTGCAATGCCATGTTTCATAAGTCATAACTAAGATAGTGTAACTAATTATAACATTGAAATAAAATTCAAGAAGATCCTCTTGAACAAATAATAACTTATAGAGAGAAAATCCTAATTCCTACATCTTGACTTAAAAAAAAAAAAAAAAACTATAGAAAGAAAATGAACTTAATTATTATAGAAGGTGATTAATAACCAGATCACTTGTTAGGTAATTACAAGTAAATTTTGATAAACATAAATTGATAATCTGATAAAAATATATAGTTCTTTTAACTTGCGGTGATATTAGAATTGAGTTATCTTACACAAACATGCTCCTATGAAAAAAGATAAAGAACAATATAATTAACATAACTTTGAAAGAGAAAAAAAGAACTTCTCTTAATTACACTAGCAAAAAAAACTACAAATTAAACACCTATATAGTATTTTCGGATGAAATTGGCTCCCTACCTATCACAATTACAAGGACAAAAACATCTATAATAATTAATAATCAATGTCATATCTAGGTAAAATGAAAGAAAATTACTACAATCTTCAACATTAATTATTTTGTGATGCATGGTATTCAATGTTTGAGACACTAATTTGTAGCAGGAAGTGGAGTACTGGAGCCTGAGGAGTTTATTGTAAAGTTCATCATATGTTGTGAACTTTGCTTGCCATTTCCATATGGTGATGCACTCACTACCCTGAAATATGCTTTGTCAGATATCACAACGATTAAAATAGTGCTATCAGCACTTTCTGATGCTATCACTATTGTTGACACGTCAGTACATAAAACTTAAAACTCTAACCTTTCCTTGCGTCTCTCCAAAAACCTAGCCAAGGATGCCCTGCGAGCCTGAGGAACAGCTATAGAAAACAAACAAAAAGGCTATCATTATTGTGCCCGAAAAAATCTTTTACCTCATAAATCACGCCCAAATTAAATTAAATGTAGGTACGTACGTACCTGATAAGTTATGGCTGGGAGATTGACGAGATTCTTGATAAGTAACGATTTTGGATAGCTCTGTTGTGTTAGAAGGTGATTTTAGGACTCCGATTGATCTGATAAGTGTTGTTTCATTCTTATTATTATTATTATTATCAAGAGAAGGAAAATTTCGAATTGTTGTACTAATTGGTGCATTTCCAGCAAGTAACATAATGGCTTGAGCCTGAAATTAAAATATCGATCGAAGAATAATTAATTTCTGATTAAAATCAAATACTAACAAAAAAAATTGATGATTTGTGTCTATAGGATATACCTTCTCTGGTGAAATATTGTCGTAAACACAGACAGAACCAGCGTAAAACATGGTCAATTGAGCAGGTCCTGGTGAAGTTCTAGGTGCACTCCTACAGTACAAACATTTTTTAATTACGACTATAAAAAATATGTCATTATTGTGTCATATAAAATGAAACATACTTTCTTAAATCGAGTTTATTAACGTACCTCAATTCAGTGGTGCCCACAACATCATTGCGTGTGGGAACATGATGTGCACCAATTTGAGTACTATATGGTCGATGAATTGTATCAACAATATCAGTAGTTGTGGTTATGGTCACCAATCCAGCTGATGCAAGTGATTCGAAACCAATCTTAGGCTTATTATTATTATTATTCTCTTGGCCCTTGAAAGATAGGTGGTATTGAGGATGAGCTTTGTTGGAAAATGACCAATGCATTGCCGAACTTGTTGATCCTGTATTTCTAAGATACTTAGAATAATAGTTTTGAAGAATTTGATAAGAAACAACAACGTTTAAATAGTATCTACAAAACCAGAAACTTAAAACTAGTAAAGAAAATAGAGGATTTGAAACAGATTAGAAATAATATACAAAATATTTTTCTCAAAGAAAAAAATCGAGTTCATTGAATATACAGTGTGTCCATAAGGAAATTATTTCCCTCAAGTACCCAAGGTTAATGGAATATATCCTCCCAGGATAGGACGATCTTACTCACCGGTGTATTGGTACCTAAAACCACTATTTCAGCAAACCACTCAATGATAGTAAAGTACACTTAGAATACTAGATTTAGTAGTAGAAGAAGAAGTCCAGAATTTGGTTGCTTTGTTGTTGAAAAATGAGAAGAAATTCTTCTATTTATAGACAACAAAGGATAGTGTGAACGGATGTTTATTGTGCTTCATCAAAAAGGCCATAACTTTTCAGAAAAGTCACAATTTTTCATAAAAGTCACAACTCTTCAAAAAAGTAAGAATTTTTCATAAAAGTCAACTCTTCAAAAAAAAGTCACAATTTTTCATAAAAAGTCAAAACTCTCCAAAAAAAAATCACATTTTTTCATAAAAGTCACAATTTTTCATAAAAATCAAAACTCATTCACACCTTTTAAAACCAAAACTATTTTTACAACAATTTTAACTTATAGGTAACACAATAGAATAAGATACCATCTTAATATATACTTTATTTTTTAGATTGTGAAATGAAGATTATGTATATAGGCTATACTTCACTCTTAAGTGACCTGATATTATTTTATTTTTTAAAAAACAAAAAAAGGTACTAATTATTGTAGAAATACCAATATCAAATTTTTAACTCTTTATCATGAGAATCAATGTACTAATTGCATTAAACACAACCATACATAAGGGTGTAACTGTAACCTATGGTAGGTTCAAATCTTAACGAAGGTAAAGTATGCAAAGTGATTTCTTTCCATGTGTCCAACCTCTGATTGATAGAATTATTTACTGATGAAAGATAACATATATCTCACAAAATTAATAACCCGAACTCCATAGAGTTGAACAAAATTCCATCAAACAGGAGTTAAGTAATTAAATCGGGCAACAGCCAACAATACACATTAAGAATAGATAGATGAAGAGCCAACCCATCAAACAATATACTAATGTTATTATATAATCATCTCTATGTCCTTTTCCCTTTTAATCAATATTGATAAATGTTACTCAGATGAATAATAATCCAATGCGCTCTTGATATTTGAAAATAAAGAATTAGGCACAGATAAAAATTTATAGCTAAATAACAAAAATTATATACAAATCCCATATAGAACGACAAATTATAAGAAAAAATAATTATTTCAAAACTTTTTAACGACGAATTAATTTAAAATTACCGATAAATTTTATAGCTAATTCTATATTTTCTTATAATATTTGTCAACGTATGGCTGAAGAAGAGGGGCTGAACATGTCAGTGGAATTTAAAATTAGCCTGTTAAGTGCATCTGATGGGAGATAATAAATTATAATTAAAGCAAGATCTGGTCAAAAGAGTGAAATAAATATATTTTATGTGTTTGTTCTGCATTCTTAAATCTAGTGGTGGACTGGTGGCCAAGACGTAATTGCTTATTGTTTATTGCTAATTCCTGTTTTGGGTATAGCACCATAGTTTATTTAAGTATAAATTTTAGGAATCACATATAAAATTATATGAAATTACAATCTATTCCTATTTAATTCGTAATTACATTAATCCTTGAAAAGTGAAACAAACCGAATACTAGCTCGAATACATTAAAAACTAGCTCGGATACATTATAAAATAAACCGAATACATAATATGTAGCTCGGATACATTAAAAATTAGCTTGGATACATTATAAAATAATTTAGAATTAGGAGAGAAATAAGAGATTTTAGATATTTTTAGAAATAGAAGGGAATATTAGAAATAAGGGGAACATAAGGAGACATGTATTTTATTACTCTCTAAGTTTCATTTTATGTAGCATTTTTAAAATTTTGAGATTTAAACAAGTCTATCTTTGACCATAAATTTTTCATAGATCTTTTAAACATTTTGAATTCTCAATTATTGTGACTTATAGAATTTTTTATGTAGTTTAGAAATATATAAATTTCATTTTTAAAAAATGAAGATTTTCATATGCAAATTCCCAGTCAAACTTAAATAGTTTGACTCTCAAAAAAGAAAAGTGTCACATAAATTTTTAAATTGAATCTTATGTTAGACTCATAGTTTTCAACCTTATGAGCCAAACATTAACCTGTTATCTAATGTTTTCTCATAAAATTTTCAATTTGTTCAACAAAAAAATAAAGGATTCATAAGTTACAAAAAAAATGGCATTTACTCATGAATAATTATACCAAAAGAGATAATCCGTAATCGCCTATAATTTAATTTTAACCGATTAACTTAGTAATAGCAATCCTTAAAATGCACTACATATTTGTATGATATAACTTAAATCCTATAATAATTTGTGTAACCTAACTATATAGACTTATAAAAAAAAAGGTAGCTCAGAGGTGCATGCTACTAATGTACTATACCCAACTCAGCCAAAATACAAAAGTAAATCACGTTGAAAGGAATCCAACGTTCTAATATAACACCAAAAACATAGTATTCACAAGCACAACAAACATCATAAAAATAAAAATACATTCTTTATTTTCCAGTACAATATTTCTAATATCAATATTCCACAAACCAAGATTTAAACAATATGTTTTGACCTACATGCAAATACCCATTTTTGGGTTTAACTAGTTTCTTGAGAATCCACATGCATGGAGTCAAACAGATTCATATTGATTTCACGAAAATAAATTAGAAAAAATTGAAGGAGCATAAATGATGACACTGTTTTTGACTTGATACAGAGCTTTATCTTCGATATTCTTATAATTTTCAACATGTTACATGGAAAGTCAAAGTTTAAAAAATTACCAAAACAAAGGAAAGATACTTTCATTTTAGCAGACTAATTAAAAAAAGTAAGGAAAACGAAATTAAAATGAAGGGAGTATCTACATACCAGCTGGATCCGTGGCCGGTTCTTCAAGGATTTCTTGTTTTACAGTCAACCCCATGAAATCTCTCTCCATTCGATCTAATTAATTCACTGCAACTCAAAGTTGAAACGCTTAAATGAAAGAAAAATCGAGGGAGGTAGTGAGGCTTTCAACGTGACCCGGGGGATGGCGTAGAACTGTATTTATCAGAATAATTAATCGAGAGATTGGTGCTGCGAGGATGAAGCGAAAATTATGAGAGAAATAAGAACTATAGAAGGAAATAAATGAAATTAAAGCTTAAGCTCGCTTCATTTATAAAGATTCGTGGAAAATTTCCCACGCTATTCTTAATTCTAATTTTCAACGTATTATAATTGGTCTTCTTCATGAAGTTTTCATACTTTATAAAATAAAAATAAAAAATAGAGATTTACACAGCTGTACTTAACATTGATGCATGCACCATGTTTTTCGAAAAAATAATAATAATAGGTACATTAATTTTCTTTTATATTTGATTATTGAAAGTACAATATAATACAGATTTATGATTAATGGTATAGGACAACTTAATTTTATAATATTCTTCAATAGTTTAAAACAATTTGTAGTAGTCAACTTATATATGTTAAAGTGCTCGGTGCAAAAACTATTTACGCAATCAAATCATTTAATACTATTATTATGAAATTAGATATGTCTTCAACAAATAATTTGCAAAAAGTATACTAGAATAAGCTTTAATAAGCAAATTGAGAAAATTTGGAATTGTAATATAGTGGTTATTAATTACTACTATTTTACCTTGCACGACACATGCAAATAGCCCTAAAAATTACTCCATTTGTTTATTATTAATCTTATAGACGAGATCAACAGATTTAATAATATACTGATTTGACTTTTAATAGGCGGAGCTAGGTGGGGTTAATGTGTTCGGACGAATCCACTAGCTTTTTCATAGATCTTAGAAAATTATATATTTATACACCTCTTAGATTAGTGATAGTTAAAATAATAATCAAACAATTAGTTTGATGGATATTCAGGAAGAAGTTTGATAATTCAACAAATAATTACTATATTTTTAATTTAAAAATAACATTATTTTTATTTTTATTTTATTTTAGTGAGATAACTTATAATCGCATAATTATTACTACTACTTATTTGGAAAAAATAAATTATACGAATATATTTTTAATATTCCGTAATCAATTAAATAATCACGTAAATGTTGAAATTAAAGGAGTATGAAAACAGGTCATTTAAGCACGTGCTCCATGATAACACGAGATTTGTGGCACGTAAGTATCCATTAAACTTGTCCACGTGTGGCCATTTCATTCGACTTCACTTCTTCTATGCCAACGACTCGTCTCAGTGAGTCAGTGCTTCCCACGATCGGGTGATTTACGAGAATGACTCTGCGTCTATGCAATGATCTTGAATTTTCAATCTCGCTTAATTAGTTTTTTTAAAAAAATAGTTTTTGCTTCTACAACTCAGCTATTCTATTTGAAAAAATTGTGGAATAAATTGATTTTGTATATGAGTTGAAAGTTCGGAATATTTTAAAAAGTTCGAGGTAATAAACCTACTCAATTGACTACTATCGTTATAAGACGAATAAAACTTGATTTGTTCTATCTCTATCGTATTTTACCTTAGTTACAAGTTATGATGTATTGGTAAAAACTATTAGTATTAATCATTATAAATTGTATATAATAGTAAATTATTAATTCAAATTAAGTGATATAATCACAGTTTGATTTAATTGTAACCCGTAGCAAACTGTTGTCATGAAATTGTCGCTCGCCTCTCTCACTTTATACAAACACAAATGTATAAATTGTGTTTCTGTTTGTATAAAGCGAGAGAAAATTGTATATACACACGCAAATACATATATCTTCGTCATATACACTTATAATTATACAATACAAATCTTCCTCTGTCAGTTCTGCCTTTCTCTCTTTCTCGCTTTATACAAACACAGATTATACAAAATACAATGTATAATTTGTGTTTGTATAAAGCGAGAGAGAGAGAGATTTGATATACCAGCATTTTATTTCGATTCAATTGTATACAAATTCAAATTTTATGCAGATATACAAACACATAAAATTGAATTGAGAGGCTGCCAGTGATTTATACAAACGAGAGGTTGCCAGCGATTTATACAAATGAGAGGCTGTCAACAATTTTATACAAATCTGATGCCCCCAGTGATTTATACAAATCGGATGCTCCATAGCAAACTTTATGTTTGCTATAAAGCGCAATTATGCAAACTATAGTTATAACATACAAATAAGATTTTTATGTTTGCTAAATGTGAAAGTTGCATATATATATATATATATATATATCTTTTAAATTGAAATAACGAGTTGCTAAATTAATATTGACTTTGATCATAATTAATTTAAAATAAGTAACTAAACCAATATATTATTGAAATTTTCCAATGGACTCGAACTGAGTTAATATCTTAAAAGGTCACTGAACTATAAGAAATTATTTAGAAAAGTCATTGAACTATGTTTTGTATCAATAAAATCATTTAACTTAAAGTTTTATCTTCAAAAATCACTCAACTATATTTACCATTAAAATAAATCTGATATGACAAAACAAATTATATTTTCAAATGATATTGAAGCTTCAACTGCGCATAAGTTTTAGTTATTATGCACATAAGTTAGTTTTGTCATATCAAATTTATGCGCATAATAACTTTAGTTATTATGCACATAAGTTAGTTATATATCACTCAAACTCTGATATCACAGATAAAAACTAACTTATGCACATAATAACTAATAAAACTTATATTACGCTTGATTGCTTGATAAGCAACAAAAAAATTGCCGACAGTTTTTTAAAAGTTAAGATCATTTTAGAAAAAAATTGTTAAACAAAAATAAAAAATAAGGTCATCACTTATGGAGTTATTGTCCTTCTTTACCCCTTATAAATATAATATAATAAAATAACTAGTGACGATAATTTGTGCTATATACGAATCTAATAATATTAATATTTATAATAATTAATTATACTTTTTATGATATGTGAATAATATTTATAATTGAGTGTACTATATATTAATTTAAAAATAAATTAGAAAACAAGCTATAAGTTGATTTTCAAATTTAAATCATACTTTCACGAAGAAACATTGATTTTTAAACTTTTTTCTTCTTCTCTATCAATAAAAAGAACACACAATTGTTGTTTATCCAAATTTTCTTTGTTCTTTGGATAAACTGTCACGCCCCGAGGCTGTCCCCTGGGCGTAAACACGGGACCTAGGATCACGAGTGATCCCAAGTTAACCCTGAGTTGGCATATCATAACCATACTAAAAGATTACTAAATTCTATGCGAAAGCTTAAACAGTGATAACTAAAAGTGGGAAATACCCAGTACTGATCTGAATATATAAAAGACTATGAGTTTAATAACAACTGGAGGATCAAACTCAAAACTAAAACTGAATCTAGTACTATGTCTGAAAAATCCTCTAACTGATTAAAGTTGCTGGGACATGCCCCAGCTAACTCTAGCAAAACTGAAAATTGAATAAAAAGACTAAAGTGTAAAACATGTCTATTGTCCTTAAAGTATGAGGACTCACCACTGAAGTTGTTGAACTGGAGATCGAGAACAGATCTATGCGTGATTTGGATGCTGAGTACATGAACCTACATCATGAAAGGATGTAGCGCAGAGTATGCGTCACTACTTGAAATGTACTGAGCATGCAGGATATAGAGTATAGCTGAATAAAATACATAACTGAACAAAACATAATGAGTAATAGCATAATCTGAACTAAATGTAAATGCTGAAATATATTGAAGGTTGAGCTAAATGCAATGACCAAGTACTAATCCTGAACATGACATACTGAGATTGAATATTGAATATAACTGGAGACCTAGTCAAATGCACTGAAGTCTGACTATGTGAGCTACTATTAACCGACATAAAATCACGTGAGCTAAACGTGGAGTCCGATGTATACGCCCCATCGACAGGATCGATATACCTTGCTAGGGGTATAAAGGCATGACTATTCGATGTATATGCCCCATCGATAGGACCCAATACACCTTGCCAGGGGTATAAAGGCATGACTGGCGTGATCACTAAAGCTGATGCCCAACAGAGGAGACTAATAAACCTACGAGACACGTAGTTCTGGAACTATGAGGGTACGCTAAACCCTAGTCCAACTCGGTCTAAGCCAACTCCCAAATGAAATATGTATAAACAACATAATCGACATACTGGATAGCTCAATGTTCTGACATGCAAATTTGAGAATGCAACATTTAAATATTGACAATGAAACATTCTTGACTAGACACTACAAAAAAAGGGAAATATTGCGACAGTTATATTACAACGGTTTCACAGAACTGTCACTAATGTAAAATAATACGATGGTTTTTTATACGTCATATTAAATATGCAATAGCGGCAGTTATCACCTAAATTGCGGCGTTTTGAAACGCCAGTTATATTTTAATTTTCCCAACAAATTTTCTTTTCTTTTATATGTCAATATATTTTCCTTAATTTACTCTATTTTCCTTAATTACAAAGTTAATTTAGCAAATCAGTCAAACGATTTTCATTCTCTCTTCCACTTTGAATCAATCCCCAAATCAGTCTTTGTATGGTATATATCTATATCTTCCAAATCAATCGCCCAAATTAGCTCTCGATCCATGGCGTGTACTGTGATAAGCTCATATCTACAAGGATAGGCTTCTCAATTTCATTGTAAAACTTTTCAATTTGAATTTTATCGCTCACTAGAAAAGAAGCCGTCATCACTATTTCTTCACCAGCAAAGCTTTTGTTCGTTCAATCTGAAATGGTTCTAAGTTGATAGATAAGCTTTTTGTTAGAATTCATGCATGTTTGAGATTGTAGAGATTTGTTACAGTTCATGCATGTAGGATTCAAGTTTTTTGTTAGGGCTTTTCTTTCTTTTAGATTTGAGTTACATTTTGTTAATTTTTTGTTGTTGAATAATCCAGTTATTAATCTAAATTTATATATGAGCTTGATAGGTTGTTGAGGCATCAAAACCTGTTGGTGAAGG